CGTCTGTTGCAGGGTGGTGCCGTACAACCGCAAGTACGAGAAGATCAGCGATCTGCAGGAGGCCGTGGAGTCCGGAGCGAATGGTGGCGCATGCGCAGAACGGTACACGAGATCTCATGACGCAGACTCCCCACGCCTCGGCTCCGCTCGGCTCTCTTCGGGAAATTCCGCTGACGCTGTTCTGGCTACTGTTTAGAAAAAGAGTGCTTCAAAATTGGCGATTTCTTGCCCTCCAATTATTCATTTTCATGCTATGACGTGGTCGAAGCGAAAATAAATGAATGCAGAAATAAAATTCTTGCAATAGTGCATTAAATATAAGTATTAAAACTATATATCAAGACTTTTATATTATAAAATGTTCTTTTTCTAACTTTTGTTGTATAAATCGATATGAATGAAAATTAAACGTGAATTTGATTGGAAATAATATTTTCACGTATCCCTTTTACTTAATGCTGAACGCCTCCTTTTTTTGGTTGGAATGTTGTTCCCCTTTAATGAACATATCTTGATTGAGGAATTCATAACCTTAAAACATTTTTTGGAAATGTTTCTCTCTCGTCAAAAATATTAAATGTATGGCTAAAATAGTATATTATAATGATATACACTGTGTATCATAATGATTGAAAAGTCTTAAACATGGACCCCAAAAATTATTTAAACTTTATGTATGGAATCATACAATCGACACACTGTTTCACGCCACTCGCTTCCAGATTACTATACACCGAACTTTACCGACTATGAATTTATTTTAAACGTTGTAAAATTTCAACAGTTGAATAATTCACATACATATTAATGTACACAACACACAAAAGATACACAATACACAAAAGAGACACAATACATACATACATGAATATAATATACGCTACAAAGTAACCCTTTTCCTGTATTTATCAAGCACACTGAACCTTTTCACCTTTGTCATCTAATAACCACCTCACAATATCCCGAACTTTCCACCTGGCCTATGTCAGAACTCGCTGTATAACCTGCATTCTAATTAATACCAAAATTGCACACTCGCCTTCGAGTTTAGGTATAATTCATGTTTGTATGTTTCAACTACAACTTCAACAGTTCCCCATTTGCTGCGCCACTTTTCTCTCAAGACCGGTCTATTCTGTCAAGACCCTGTTACGTCTTGTCGGCCATTAGCGTACGAACCAACGCTTCCCTCAGCCCCCTCAACTCCACCGAACGTAACGACTGAGTCAGTGTGAGGCTTGCTGGGAGCTCTGAACGACCACGGAATCAGCCATTCTCAAACCCGCTTTCTGGGCTTCTCCATAAAATGCTCTATCTAACAGTTGTGTGTCAACAGTGAATTTTCCCTATAACAATGTACTGTAAGATGCATCGCGAAAACGTCATAACCACGGAAGTGATCGCATGGTACACCAAAAGCAAACACGAGGCCCTGTTACTAGTTAATAGTAGTCTCTCTCTTGCCTCCCATCTTCAGCCTGAATCTTATAATTCTCATCTATATCCATCCATCCATCCATCCATCCATATCATTCTCATCCTGTGAAATTGTCTGCTTTATTTCGATTTCCTCTCCTGGGAACTGAGATATACACCTTCTTCCCATACCTCTGGAATATCTCCTTGCTCAATAATATTGAATAAGTTTACTCTTTCTTAGAATAGATACAAGACTAATTCGAAATTAAATAAAAGCCTTCTGATTTCTTGTTCTTTAACTCATTGACAGCATTTCTTATTTTTTCTTTTATTATTTCATGAAGTTTTTAAATTCCATTTGGTCACTCCATTTTCCAACACATCTATAATATCCTGGCCTTCTAAATCTTTCCTTAAACCATTCAAACCATTCTATCAAGTCAATTTCATATTCAATTGTCCTGTTACCTTTTTATCTCCCATTCCTTAATATTTTCCACGCTTCACTCCTATCTCATTATATCTTTTATAATTCCAATCTCTCTCGTAATTTTTATAGAACTCTTTAAAGTCTGCTTTAACCTTCACGTACCAAATTTTATTAATTGTTTTCATTTTCCAGTTTCTCAAGGCCTCTTTTTACCTCCACTTTTTAAGCACACTGATTACCCCACCATTTATTTATATATTTAACTCCATTCTTAATCAGATTTTTTCTGACAACTACCTCTTTATTAAACCGTTTTAATTGTGCCATCATTTCTCTAATATCACTTTTCAATTTTTATATTTTAACTTCTCTTCCTTTCCACTATTTTAACTTGCTTCAGTTCCATTATCCTATTCTCATTATTTACCTGTAGATATTCAGTGCCAGTCCCAACTTTATTCCCTTAGATCATTCTTCTCCAGGTGTTAACTTCCAGTGCAGTCCAATCCAGTTAACTTTTCTTTCCTTTAATGTTAGATCAGCTCCTATCCATTTCTCCGTTCTCTCTAATTTTCCTTTCTTTCTCACAATATCTTTTAATCAAAATTATTCAACTTTAAAACAATGATAACACATGCCACACGTGGTAAAAACCCTCACCAAAACCGATGATGTCTGTTGCACTGCGATACAACATTGAACAATCAAGAACTTCAAACGGATCACAGGATACCGACAAACAAACCAGATATAGTTATTCGGGATTTAGTGAAAAATATACTTGTAGATGTGGCTGTGCTTTGCGACCAAAACGTCGTAACCAAGAATGTAGAGAAACATCTTGAATACAACAGTTTGGAAAAAGGAATCAGGGGAATGTGGGATGTAGAAGACCATGTCGTACGATAGTAACTGGAGTTCTGGGATTCTTTCCGCAAAATTTGTGTAAAAAAAATGGCTAAACCTCCAAATAATGAAATAGACTGGGAAGAACAAGAAATGTCTTTGTACAGCCCACATTTTGCGCAAAGCATTTTGGTAATAACTAATAAGAAGTAATAAAAATAGTAATAATAATAATAATAATAATAATAATAATAATAATAATAATAATAACAACCAAGTGAAGTGGTTCAGTGTGTAAAGCGCCGACTTCCCAGTCTGGAGGCCCGAGTTCATTCGGACCGGCCATCCTGATCAGTGTTTTCGTGGCGTCCCTCGGTCATATAGGCGATCATACCTTTCTATCACCTCATAACTCATAATTCAATGCTTCACAACCTTGTATTACCAAGCGATGCAGCCGAAAAGCTGATCCCCACAATGACACGTTAAACACTGTTCGGGACAATATAGCGAAATCTTACTAAATGTAAATATAATTATATGGCCGCACCAAGCTTTTATTAGATGTTCGAAATTAACTTTTAAATTGGAAGCAAAGACTTCGAAATTTCTATTTTAATGTATCTTACAGAATAATGCAGTATACTTACGTTTTACGAAGCACTAGTGGACCACAGGGCAATGAACACAAATGAACTTAATGTCTGAATCCAGGCTGAAGAAGTGAACAGGGAAGCAACACTGGACAGCTCTCAAGGGAAGACCAGGGAAGACTGCTTCCAGGGCCTTATGGGCCTGCTTGCGACCTCTCGCGAACTCACGCAGTAGCCTACGCACTTTTAACAGTATCGTTTGCAGCTAGTTCGGTGTCTTTAGTTCCCTGTAAAGAAGGTGAGCAGAGCGCGCCACCGTAATGGTCTCCACCACGTTATATGGGAGTTATAGGGCCCTGACTGCTTCCACATGTGAAGCGAGCAATTAACAAGAGTAAATAAATCTGTTCCAGCAAAGCAGCGTAATATTCACGTCATGGAGTAAGCAAATGAGTGATGTTGAACCTTGAAGGGGAGGGGGCGGCGCTAAATTCAAAAATTCTGATAGATTCAGCAAGCGGAGCAATAGCATAATTATTAAAAATCGGCACTTCAACTAGAATATACATATTTTGTTTTATCCATGTGCGTCAAAAAGGGCACAAAATCAAAATACTCGTATTTCAACATTAAAAAAAAAGTTCTTTGAGAAAAAGTCTTCAAAGGCTTACAAAGTTTTGAAAGTAACACTCGACTTTAAGTTTACAGATTGTTGTTTTTGAGACAACTGATTCGAGGCTGTAATATTTTAAGAGACGTTTTTAAGAATGTATATCTTTGTAGTAGTGCATTGTCGCGAAAACAAAACTCGACATTTCCATTAGGTATGTTTTGAAGCCTATAAAAAATAAATTAAAATAATTTTTTACAGTAAATTCAACTTTTTAAGAGAGTTTGTCAACACATTTATATTTATATTCTTAATTCTTTTATAACATCGTAAAGTAGCTCGCTAGAAATAACTTTCTCAAAAAGAGTATTATTCATTTGAATTGTTCTCATAATTATTGCAATCTTTATGTTCAGAACTTCACATTTACGGAGACATTTCAACACTTACTTTATTTATTGATTGATTTACTTCAGGCCAAAAATAGTTAAAATAGTGTGTGATGTACTAGGAAAATAAGTGTATTCTGTACACGTTTTCGTGTGTTCTAGCATCCCAACCCTAACTAATATACTAGTAGAATTATGAATGCAGGTGAAAAAGTTTCTGGCAAGAAATGTTAAGAAAATATTAACTCCCGTGGAACAAAAACTATTTTCCAAGGCAAATCAGTAACATTTTTGGCATCATCGTACCCTTCATAAAGGAATCGCCACACTGCCGCCTGATCATGGAAGTTCAGAAGCAAAACATGAGCTGCATGAGCTGAAAGGATCAGGGACACTAGTCGCAAAACCTTATCGAAATGGGGTCGTTGACCTAAATGTCTATTAACTTTGCTGTAAGTTTCATAGGGCAAACAGGACTTTCAAGGAAGAATGGGTAGAGGTTCACTGTGCAGTCAACTTGATATTTTCTTGTAAACAATTTTTCATTGACGGCAAATTAAAATGTATTTTTATCTTTTGATTAAGGTCTGTGACACACTTAACTCGCATCACATAATGCTGATGACGTCAGCCGCGTCGACGTCTTACGCACAAAAGTCACTTCACGCCCTTCGTAGATTACGCATCAACTGCTAAAGAAAGTACGCCAATCTCCCTTTTGGTAATTAGTTTATTTTGATGATAAATAAATATAAATATGAAGTTCAATGCAACTTAAGTATCAATAAATATACAGTGATTTGAGCAAGGTCATGGCCTGCGAAGGTCCAATGTCCTTTTAGTATATAGTTAGCATGAGGCCCTCCTTTAGCCCCACTTATCCGTCACTGAACAATTTTTCTTCTTATGCTTACAGAAATATACAATTTATTGAATATTGTTTAGAGTACGAAATAACTTCGTTTAAACTATAAGATGTCATAAAATATTAGGGTACTACCTGAAAGAGTAATATACAAAACGAAAATAGTTTATTAGTTGAAACATTACACATAAATTACATGTGCTTACAAAGAGGATAAATAACATTTAATAACATGCTGAAACAACTGCAAACTTTCATTTAATATCATTCTACTGAAAATCGAATCCGTTCTATAGAGATATGATATGTAAAGCTTTATATAGTTACTTTGAATGCAACTGTTTTCACCGCTGATATACATTGATATGTCACATAATATGACGTGAAAACAGTTTTGGGCGATGAATAGTTTCCTGGTAAGAAATCGAACACTATTTGAACTACATCGAGAAGAGAATCATAATTAATAAACTCATCAACCTATCGTTTCGAAGATTTGTATTCCATCTGCATATATACAGTAGAACCAGGGCGGATCCACGGGGAGGGAAATTCTCCCAAAAGTTTCCCTCCCAAAAGTTTTCAATAACTATTAATTTTAACTTGACCCCAAACTATCAAGTATTTTCCTATAAATATTTAAACGAATAAAATTGAATCACAACATGTGCTGAGTTCAGCTTGCCTCATTCTACACAATCTGTAATCTGACATATTCGACCAAAACATTTTGAATAAGAAATGTTCCCACCCAAAATTCGTCTCAGGATCCGCTCTTGGTAAAACGTAGAATTTTTTCTACTGTCTGTGAAATCAACCCAGTGTTAGTTATAATTCTAAAATTAAATAACAAAGCTGTTACTTAATTCCATTAATCCATTCATTAAATATTTCGAAAAACTTTAAAGTTTCTTCTTTCTTTAATTTTTAAGCAAGTTAATTTCGATTAATGGATGAATTAGAATATGTTTTCATCCACTTACATTTCTTGTGGCAGAGAAATAATAATTATTTTAATATTTGATATGAACACGGTTATTTTGTTCAACATTCTAAGAAATTACTTCTTAAGTAATATCACGGTTAAAGTTTATTACTATTAAAGTTTTTAGCGCCTGTCAATAAATAAAAATATTTTGCATCAAATAATGAATCGATGTTTTTTGTTCGATGCATTTTACAGTACAATAATAAGTTCACATTATTAGTATTCCTGCTCTGAACTTTCATTGACCAATACACTTTTGTCTTGCAACTTGTTCATTTCAGTAATTCTAGTGCGTTAGCATAATCATAACATTTTGTCCATCTCATGGAGTTAATATTGTTTAGTAACTTTCGTTAAGCATACATCTCAGTACTTCTTCATTGGAAATACTTGCATATTTCCCTCTCAAACTTTGGTGAAACAGAAGGCAAATTGACGTGTGAGACATTAAATTTAATTTGACCTGAATCGATGGGTAATAATCTATTCACTTCATAATATTATTCCTCATGTAGTAATTGTCGCTTGCTAGTCTCTTTGAAGGTATGTTCGCCAACCATATTTTATAATCACTATAAGAGACACTTATAGTACACATCTCTAAATCCAAATCGATTGTCCAAGAGACCGAGATGTTTTCACTGCCCTGAATTTGTATCATGGAAGTACAGACAGATGTAATAATGATGACCAACATATTAATGTTTCCTTCATTTGATGATGGATGGCGTCCATTGAATTAATGTTTCAGTATGCAATAACTCCACTGGCAACATTTTCACTTTGATTCGTTGTACTGGTTAGGAGCCTGTAAAGCTAACTTGTGTTTTGTAGGAAGTTTCGAACCCCTTCCAGTTGGTAGTCATGTCCATTTTTTAAATCAATTCAGCGCAAATACACGCATTTTAAACGGACATGTGGAGTTCGTTTCAAAGTCAACCAAAACCAGTTTGGAATCACGGCATATCGTTCTTTTATAACGGAGCTCGAACCACCGCTGACGGTCGAGTATGCTCTCCGGTGTTCAATCATGGAACCCGCGCGAACGTCGCGCAACACGTGGCCAGCAGATAAACTACCGTCGTCTGGGAGCCGTCTCCAGCTTCGGCGCGAGGCCGCTGGGGCAAGCGAAGGCGCTGCAGTCGCCCTTGCGGACCGCGGCCATGACGTCTCCCAAATGAAAGGCGACTGACACGTCGCCTCGAGCTCTGAAACAAGCATAAATTAATAAATAGCTAATGAATTAAAAAAGAATTATATGAGTATTAATACAATTGGATAACAACTAATTAACTGTATTTATTACATTAATATGCTAACACAAAATATCGGTTAGAGACAACTTACAAGACTCCTTTGACACAAAAATTTGAAAATGAAGATTTTTTCCCCCCATTGAGACTTATCTTCATTACTGATCATTTTCTTGTACTACGTATCATTTCAATTTTTAAAGATGCTTTTGAGTCATGCTGACATATTGTTTAAGAAATTTATGTTTCTGTTTTTACACAGTATCCAAATTCAGTTGAATCCTGTATCTTGTCACATCCGGAGTGCGTTAACTCGAATGGCTATATTTAAGGTCTTTAAAATTGGTCTTCGGGCCAGAGTTACGTCACGCGCAACCTTTTTTTGGGTTTAGTTCTCTGGCTATTTCCACGTCAAAGACCCTCGACCGGGAATCAAACTCGGGACCACACCAATCGAGTACACTGCCCGTTAATCATCTCAGAGGGCTTAGAAATAACTTAGCGTTAAATTTGAGTTGGGGATAAATATATGTTTCATTTCTTTTAAATGAATAAAAATTCGGAGCCCCAATTAAGTCGGGGAATTGGGCAAGTTGCGCTAGCTGCCCCCCCCCTCTGGACACCTCTGACAATTACATTCAACGAAGAAGAGTGGTATTATTTTTTCTAATAAAGAATACACTTCTTTTTTGTGCAGAAAAATTCGTGTGTTTTATTGATCGTCAATAATTGAGACGCTCAGAATAACTGCAGATTCCAACTGAAGTTTGTTTTGAGAAAAAAGACCTTTTCTAATTTCATTGACGTTCATTTTTATTCTCGACAAACTTTTAAACGTGAAATTTATTGATGTAGACTATGTGATCAAAGTATCCCGATCACGTTCCAAATGGTGTTATGGTGTGGTCGTGTTTTTCATTAAGGGGGCACCCCTTATTGTTTTCGGTGTCTCTATCACGGCAAAGACCTACGTTGATCTTTGAAACGCCTTTTTGCTTCCAATTGTTGAAGAGAAATTCCGGATTGGCGACTGCATCTTTCAACACGACCAAGCACCTATTCACAATGCATGGCCTGTGGCAGTGTGGTTACACGATAATAACATCCCTGTAATGGACTGGCCTGCACAGAGTCCTGACTTGAATCATATCGAACACCTTTGGGATGTTTTGGAACGCCGACTTCGTGACAGGCCTCACCGATCTACATCGATACCTCTCCTGAGTGCAGCACTCCGTGAAGAATTGGTTGCCATTCTCCAAGAAATCTTTCAGCACCTAATTGACAGTATGCCTCAGAGAGTGGAAGCTGTCACCAGGCTAAGCGTTGGCCAGCATTACTGAATGGAGGGAATTGAATTCCAGCCTTATTGATGGAGGGTGCAACGAACTGTTAAGTCATTTTCAACCACGTGTCTGGATACTTTTGATCGCATAGTGTAGTCTTATATGCGCACGTTTTCTTGAGCCCCGGCTTACCTTCCCTCACCCCTTAGATGAATTCAGAGTAAATGATAGCCACAAGTTTTGTTGACAAACTCTGGTCACCACAAGTATTTGCTCCCGTGTAACAGAAAATAGTTTGCATCGAAAAACGAGCAACAGATTTCATGTAATAGTCCTGTCAACAAAATAATTAAACCCCCCACTCCCCTCGCATCTAGCGAAATGAGGGCTCAAGAAAACGTGCTGGGATAATACTCACATCTGCGCGTAAGCCGCCGCCATCTTCTTCTCGGTGAGCACTATGTCGTCGTGCGAGCGCTGCAACATGGCGTCGCAGAAGATGCGCTTAGCGCACGGTGTGTGCGCCCAAGCGGCCGCGCTGCCGGCCACCGCCGCCGGCGCCGCCCCGGTCGCCTCCGCGTCCAGGGAGTTCTCCGGCGCGCCGTGCTTCTCGTCGCCGTCCGCCGCGCGGCGCCGCCGGCGCAGGCGCTGCTGCTGCTGGTCGTTCGGCTCGTCCCCGCTAGATCGCACTGCCTCCGAAGGTTCTTCCGACAGCACCAAGATGGCGTCCGTGTCGAGCAGGCGAGCCTGGCGGCAAATGTGACATTTGAATTAGCCATTTCAGTGAAAGGAGCCATCAGATATCAAGGGACATTTACTATCGAAGATCCAGAAATTGAGAATCAACAAAGAAGGAAATTGTAATTACCATCAGACAGTTAGCTAGTAAGGATCATTAAAACAATACGTTGGGTTTAAATCAGAGGTTTCACTATACTGTGTAAGATGTATAGTAGAAACTATACAAACTAACAAGGGAATAGTGAACTGTGTCATGTGGACGTGCCTGACCTTTTTGTACCTTGAAGTAAATATTATTTAGACGCACAATTTTTGCACACATTTTTAGGTGCAAATTTTTTCTGTGAGCATTTTTTAAAACAAAAATATGAAAAGTGATGGTTTTTCGATTGGCACACCAGTTAAAATACTGGGTAGGGAGGGTCGAGGGTCAAGAGTCGAGGGTCGAGGGTCGAGAGTCGAGGGCCAAGGGTCGAGGGTCTGTATCGGAATCCCCCTGTCCATTGGATACGATTAAAATGCGATGGAGAGGAAAGCCCAATCCAAAAGCGATTGTGAAACTTTTCTTAGGAACGGCCACAGGTATATGTCATTAACTTGAATGCCATATTTTATGTTGTTTTACCAGTTTTAAACAATGAAATAGAATTGGATTCAGAAAAATTACGAAGAGTCCTTCGGACAATGATAATACCTTTGTTGCAAAATAACAGAAAATAATCGTTCACGGTGAACAGATTATCACGTACACCAAAGGGATAGCATCTCAAAATTACAATCATTCATTCATTACCAATTTTTATCCCCATGAACTTTATAATTTTTTAAATGGTTCCAGAAAAGTTTAGCAGTTAAAATATTGCATCCAATCTTGGTTTGACACTTTAAGAAGAAAACAAAAATGAGGAAGGGTTTCGACATGACAAAGTTAAGCATTCCCTTGTAAGTTGTATAGTAGAAATATCTACGGAAGAAGTATGAGAGGCGCCTTAATTCTCCTAACCTGTCTCCACAAAAATCCGCTACATCGTAATATTCGAGAAAATGCTCAGGACCGCTGTCGGAGCTTGGAGAGGCAGGCGGGTCGGGGCGGGGCGGGGTGGAGCGAAAGTGGTGACGGTGTGGCTGGAGGTGGTGACCTTGTCTTCGAGAATATTTTACGCGCAGTAAATCTTTAAAATGGGACAGTCTGCATTATTTTCCATACAAAGGAAGGCTACGAAGATTTTTTTTTTCGTGGAGAGCTGGTAGAAGATGGCGGCGGCGGTTCGTGTGTAGCTTGAACTGGTCACACGGCATTTGAGCAGTCTTGCACATTTCTTCGGCGTTTTAGTAACTACAACAAAAGCGAAGCTCGTAGTGCAATAATGTCCATTTGTAGTAGTCATTGCAATCTATAGTATCTATCAATACTCAAGGAATAATGCTTCCTGGGGACAGACAATTTCTCTTTCCAGTGTCAAAGAAAAAACTACCTGTTAATCTCAACGACAAATGTTTAGACATCCAACAATTCTACTGAGGTGTTTTTTGAACGTAAACAGCGAAGCAAGGAGCGGGCGTGGGCAGGGCAGGGCCGGCAGCAACGTTGACGAATGTTGCCCTCTCGCGCGTCATCTTAGTGTTTTCGGGAATCGCTTAAGCGTCCTACTAACTACAACAATTTTTACGTGGCGCATTCATTGCAATGTACGTTATATAACCATCAACGAGGAATTCGATCAGGCTTCCTGGACAATGACAATTTCTATCGTTCTAAAAGAACTAGTGTCCATTTCCACGAAACATGTCTAGTGATCCAACAATGCTACTGAGATATCTCTTCGATACCTCCACAGCGCCTCCAAAGCGAAGCAAGGAGCGAGAGCAGGGCAGAGCGTGGACGGTATTTCTTCCGGGAGCGTCATCTGCGAGGTCTTGCGAATCCCTTTACCGACCTATAACTACAACTATAGCGAACATATTACAACTATTTCCCCGGGCCCTAATCATTGCAAACCACCGTATCTGCCCATTCATAAAAAATACGATTAGCCTTCGTTAACAAAGGCAATTTTTCTCTATATCATTCTAAAAAGAAAGCTACCTGTCAATACGAAAGAAATACGTCCAGGCTTCCAACAATGCTACTGACATATTTCCGTCGTAAACACCGCAGCAAGGGCGAGGCGCGAGCAGGACAGGTGCGGTGGCAGAGGCGGGGGCGTTAACAAATTTTGTCCTGGGCATGTCATCTCAGCAGTGTCGCGAGTCCCTTAAGCGTTCTAGTAACTACAACAATAGCAAACCTAGTACAATATAACAGTTTTCCCATGCTGTAGACACTAAAATGAACAGTATCTGTCAATACTCAAGAAATACGTGTCCCCGCTAAAGATATTCTCTGTCTTTACGAGTTTCAAAGAAAACCTACCTGTCAATGTCCAAAAAATATGTTCAACCATTCAACGATGTTACTGAGATACTATCATTTCGATGTAAATACCGAAACGCCTACACAGCGACGCAGGGACGGCAGCGGCGGTGACGGTGGCGGCGGTGGCGGTGTGGAAGCATTTTGAACCAGGAGCGTAATCTCAACAGTCTTGTGAATTCTTTTATTGACCTAGGAACTACAACAATCGCGAACTTAGTACTACAACAATTTTCACGTGTCATAGTCAATGCAATGTACGGAATATCTCTCCATTCACAAGGAGTAGTGAACAAAGACAATTTTTCTCTCTATTATTCTCAAT